TGTGTGTGTGTGTGTGTGTGTGTGTGTGTGTGTGTGTGTGTGCGTGTATGTGTGTATGTCTGTGTGAAGGGAGGGCAGAAGACTTTATTCAGCTCAAGTGTGGGTGGCCGTGGGAGATCGCAGGTCGCTCGACTGCCATTAATCACGGCCGACGGCTCTCTAGTTTTCTATCTGCATGTGAAAGGAAATGCACACATTGTTTGTGGCTTTGACTGGTGCCATTATTTCAGTCCTCTGAGAGAAGTTTACTCTTGACATCATAAATGAAATGGAAACAATCAGTTTTCTCCTCGAGTGAGTGATGATATCAGCACACCGGAGTCCTGTTAGCACTGACATGAGATCAGACCTCTACAGCACATCCATCCTCACTAAACATGAAGAACTGGAGAAATACGAACTTCTGAGTTTTTCAGGGTGGCAGTATAGCTTGGTTTTTAATGTTATTTAATCGAGGGTGTTTTGTACAACAGTGGTCCGGGTCTGAAACAAAGACAGAAACAGAATTGTGACATTTTGGCAGCTATAATTAACCACAAACATTCCCTGTCGATTCTCTAGCCTCTGTCTATCATGCCTTAAACCAACAATAATTAGAAGTACAATTGTAACTGAATAATGAGCATTAATGGGGCAGTGATTCGCTAGAATGTGCAATAATGCAGTAACATTTATCATTTATCTGCACATCATTTGAAGCTGCTGTATGTCATTTTTTGGGTGTCGCAATATGGGATTCCAGTTTAATATGCAAAATAAACTAATTAATAATTAATAAAATTGAATTAACGACCCCATTACTTAAAGTAGAATGTAAAGGTATAGCCAGTATGAATTAGTAATTGACTTTCTGAAGAGTGAAACATGTTCAGACTGCAGGCAAATCATATTTTTTCTCAAATCAGAACTTTTCAGGCAGACTGTCTGCACTATTAATTGCAAGTGATCGAATCCGATTTGTGTGTCCAGACATGACCAGTCTATCTGCATGGGTTGCTTTGGTAACGACGCAGGCATATCTACGTATGTGACGAGGCTTATTCTAAACAGATGCAGGACAACTGGAGGTGCATCATCTTGCACTCCAAATAAGTCGCGGTGCAGAACTGTGAAAAACTCAGCAATAGAGGAGACTGCTATATATTTGGATTTTATTCAGACATGGTTTGAACTTAATCTTCAGGCATCTGCCTGTAGCAGATTATATTTAAAACATACATTGTGCACATTATGTGTGATGTCTCTTATGTATATTGTTTATGTTACTCTACGTGAGCTTGTGAATTGCCCCTATGAGACAAATAAAGTGTTTGAAATTGGAAATTGAAATATTGTGATGTTCCGTGTTATAATCACAGCCTGCTTCAGCTTCGTTTGAATACTGTATGAATACTTCTGGCATTTCCATCACTGCTTTTGACATTATTGTTGTGTGTCGCGCTAAGAGTGATGCAAAAGACAATTGGAAGATTTGGAGAATTGGAGATACATCTGTAAAAATCTGATTCAAATCGCATTTCAAACCACCTTCATTTGAATCATACAAAAAAAAAAGAAAATCAGATTTCATGTGTTTTTTGCTGTTCAGACTTTTAAAACCCCATCTGTATAATAACTGGATATGCAAAAAATCTGATTTTTCCAAACTTCTTTGTTTCCATGTTGCAGGCAAACCGCTTGTATTGTGTCGATTTCCACAAATAGTTGTGGGGTTTTATCTCACTAACGATGAGCTCACATGTCAGATATTGTTATGCTTGTGTGTGTGTGTGTGTTTGTCAGGGGTGATGTCAGACAGGCAGTTCGGGACTCAGTTTGTGTGCAGTGTGGTGGCGTCTCACGTCAGTCACCTGCCCTCCACCAGCCTCAGCTTCATCTGGATCGCTCCTCCACCCGGCACCGGCTGCGTCAACTTCATGTGAGTCACGCATCCAACACCTACAGCTCATGCAAGCCATGAGGAAAACCTCACAAAAATCTGACATCATGAGGCAGATTCTTCACGAGTGAGTGAATCCTGAGGCTCACCTGAGAGATTGTGTTTGCATAAAACATGCCATGCTTCCAGAAACCAGACCCATCTCTGATGTAGGTTTGCAATAAACATGCTTGCAGTTTCAGATCAACAGAAGGCCAGACCCTGTTTCTCAGAAAAATCATGTTTTAATCTGAGAAATACAGACCTGCTGAGAAGAGCTTTTCCTCCACACATCTAGATGTCACTCTTACAGTTCTGAGTGCAGAATCAAGAAGGAGGTCAGGTGTGAATATTCATGCTGCCTTCACATGTTATCAGAATTATCAGATTACTAGTCAGAAATTGGACATGAACGGCTTCTTATATTATATTAATGACTGGGAAACCTTGAGATCATTTTGATGCCTGAGTTTCCTAGTGGAGCCGCCAGAAACATTTTATTAATTTTGCCGTTTTAAACAATCGTTACCGTTACATCTATATTTACATATTATAAGTAGCCTTTCAAAGCATATTGTATTTCACACAACGAAAACTGCATTTATTTCACTGAAATTCCAAAATCGTCAGCATGCTATATAAGTTTAAATGCCTGGGAAGCTACATTTTATTCAAAATCTGTTAGATAGTAACAAAATATCTTCAATGCATTTTGGCTTTAATAAGATTTCCTCAAGAAATAGGCAGGATTGAACCTGCTGCCCTGCATGATCCCTGCTCTTTGTATCAACACATTTGAACACGAAAGAATATGTGCAGGAATTAGTGCACTCAGTTTAATGACAGACTGCTCAGAGATGTCTTATTTTGTGCTTTAAATTCCACACGAAGGCAAAGTAAAGCACTCAATGCTTCTTGTCTGTTTGTGCAGATACACACATATATTACACGCAGATCTCAAGGGTAAATATGCCGATTTGCCAGCTCATTTGGAGGCGAACAATCATTGCTAATAGCGGTGAGGTGTATGTTTGCAGTTTACTACAGCTCAGAGAACAAGCACACAGATGGAGACAGCGCCTCAGATCGTCTAGCGTGTCCGTTATGCTGCTCTTCTGTCAGAGCCAAACCCTTGAGAGCAGACGCTCATTTAAGAGCCGATTTTCAGGATTCATGATGTGGCCGTTCGCTGCCACACTTCACGGTTTTCCCGTCTTTGTCAGGCGTGCCGCTAACAAATCTCTGACGGCGAGGCCGCGGGTCAGAGGAGCCTTGCGTGTGTCGGCCCTGTGCACACGCGTGTGTCCGTGTCTCTCTGCCGTTTGTCACTTTGAGAGTTTACGTCAGGCGGACAGAGAGCAGCGTTTCTGAGCGTTCAAGGCCTTCATCCATAACCCTGCCATGAAAGCATGATGGGAAAAAAGCGAAGCGAGGAGTGTTTAGGCATTTCTGTTATTACGATTAATTGTGGTGGAATGGAGTGCGGGCTGTTTGTGATGGACCATCTGTTCAGGGCAGCCTGTGTTTCTGGAACATGCACAACAGTTACGTTCTGTGTGCTTATTGTTATTTTCCTTTCCTGGAAAGAGTCAATCGTATATAGTGTCTTTGGCTAAACAAACCAGTGCCAGATGTAATGTGAGTGAACAGGGGCGATAAAATGACCAGCTGAAGAAGTGAAGAATGACACAGAGATGGAGGAGGACCGTTTGAACAAATGAACGACGCAAAGAGAGTTTCCATTGTTTAACTGTGGAAGCTCAAAACACAACGAGCTCGACAGCCAGCGAACATTTATTTAACTGTCAGCCGTAACTTGTGAAATTCACTGACACTGTGGCATTAACTACATAATACAGAAATATTTTCCTAAATGATATACAGAAAAAGGAAAAAGTTTTTACTTTTATTTGTATTGAATGTGCACTTCAAATGCTAAAATTATATTTTAAAAATACTGTACTTGTAGATGATATAAAATTAATGAAATAATAGACCTCTTAAGTTTATTAAAGTGAGACATTTTTAGGACTGTTTCTAACTTTTTAATAAGGTCAAAATTAACAATTTTGTTTTAAAGTACATTTTCAATCTTTATGTTTTAATAATCTTTTGTCATTCTTTAAAGAAGTACACTTATTTGGATGTGTCGACTAACATACTAAAGCACATTTAAAATACTTTAACATTTTGTGTTCTTCAGTATTGAATTTCATGTTAATATATTTTAAATGTACTAAATTGCAAATGTGTAAATAGAAATATATTTAAATACATGGCATTCAAGCTACAATAGAAATGACATATTTTACCATAAATGCTTGTCAGTACATTTAGCAGTAACATTAACCATACTTGAAAGACAATAAAAGTAATTATGAAATTACATATAAAGATGTACTGAGTTAAAAAAAAACACCTTAAAGTTCAGCTAATTGAATTTAATACATTTTCATTCAATTGTAAATAGCATGCAATTAAATGTAGAGAGAGAGAGAGTGTTTGTGCGTGTGTGTGTGTGTGAGAGAGAGAGAGAGAG